TTCCATTCATCCAACACTCCAAGGCAGCATTAAGCATGATTTGGGTTTTTATATAGTCTCGTTTTTTTATAGCAAATATCTGCTCCCCTGCCACATATGTACCAGGCTCACGTTTGTTAAGAAACTATTACATGGTATTCGTAAAACTAAATTTTGTCTTGAAAATACATGGGTTTAGCTGAAAGCAGTTCGGTGTAATAACTAAGATTCTTTCTTCGAATAATATCTAGTGTTGTTTTGTATTGTATTGGACCTAATCGTGGCAAACCGATCCATCCGAAAATGACTATTTTTGGCTGCGGAGTGAAGTGTTCATTCTACTTTCAAGGCAATATACCAGCGCTATCGGAGTTCGAGTGGCACTATCCGTATCTTACAGATTGACCACAGTCCAAATACGATGCTTCAAGAGCGCACGGGCGCACACACTGGTCAGTGGTCACTATCTACGGGTACGAGGATCACTGGTGCAAAATTTGTTTTGAAATTTCATGGCTCTCTTCCGTTTTTTTTTTTTCAACTTTGCACATACATGAGCTAGTACAGTCTGTCTTAAAAGTACCGCGCAAAGTGACGGTGGATCCATCAAACCTGACCGAGGAAGGGCCTGCTGAATTTGAAAGTTACCGAAACAATTGACCTGGGGAATGGACGAGGATGTCAATTGCTTCGGTGACTCAAATTCAGCAAGCCCTTCCTCGGTCAGGCTTGATGGATCCACCGTCACTTTGCGTGGTACTTTTAAGACAGACTGTACATTTACTTACTCAAATCATCCAACGAACTATAATTTTGTCTCCCGCCGAGCCTCCAGATCACCCACCTCCAGGTCCCCGAAGTATCCGTGCCCGCGCAGCAGCCGGTTGTGGTGGTAGTAGGAGACACACGCGTCCTTGGGGTTCCTGGCCACGTACACCACCTTGCACGTGTCCAGGAGGCGCGGGTTGTTCAGCGACATGGGCAGGTGCGACTTGACGAAGCGCGGCGAGGGGCGGTTCGGGTCTCCGCCGAACTTCTTCACGTCTATCGGAGGGGCGCCGGCGGGCGCCATTTTGGCGTAGCCATCCTGGTCCAAAATGGCACTGATCTCGATGAAGTTCCATCTGTGAGCAAGTAGGTAATGTTCATTGTCCATGATAACATGCGTGCAGGAAACGATTAGCATGCGTGATGGTGTCTTATTGCTTGAACCAGTACATCCCTAATGACATGAATCTTAATGAAATTCTTTTACATCGTTACTTAATATGAACGCGAGTAAAAGTATAGCTTCTTTAATAACGAACTACTAACTAATCAAGGATAACTTACTGTTCTCAATCGATAGAACGGCCATTTTCAAGTAAGAAAAAAACAACGTTAATATCAAACGTTATATTTTAGGCCGGCACTCACCTGTCAGGCATAAGGGGCGTCTTGGCTCCCTCGTAGTCCAGGTCGTTGGCGATAAGCCAGATCATCTCCTGACTCCAAGTGGTCCCACACTTTGGAGGCGTTACTACCCAGACGTCACGAGGGTCCAGGGGGTAGTTGTACAGATTCTCCATTTCCTCTTCGGTCACCGACCCCGCCAGCTTGAAGTTCCAGTGGTTGCAAGAGGCGAGGCCATTCGGATAGCCCTCGAAGTCTTTGGCGATCTTTTTCTGTACATCGTCTTCAAGAGGACGGATCTTGAAGGGAAATGAAACTCGTTCAGAAGACATCTGTGAAAATCATGTGCTAATGTTATGGCCTGGAATAAATTACGTGCAATTCTATAAAACGGAAAAAATTAACCCGCGCCCTGGTGGGGTCTGTTTATAACGCGACCTGGTGGGGGGGGGCTATTTTTTTGCCCCCCCCCCTCGTATCTCCGAAACTACTGGACGGATCCGCAAAATTCAAACGGCGTTCGATAGCCCTGTCAAATTTGTTGAGGGAAACCAAATTTCATTGACCTCGGGGTCACCGATGACGTCACAGGTCAGGTCAAAGATGAAATGTTTCACCGTTTACGGGTCTTCTAGGGAATGCGCTATAACACCGAAGAAAACGCATTTTGTCGAGAATCAGCGATAGGGCGTCAGGTGCCTAGTACATATGTTGCTATAAGAGGTCACTGACAATACCAGGTCAGGTCACAGGTCAAGTCACTAAGGGTCACAGGTCAGGTCACATGAACCTAACTTTAGGTACTATGGTTGTGCGATGCATGTTTTATGGCCAATTTTTCATTTCCAACTCAATGGTGTTGGTTATAAGACTATCAGGTACGGCTTAGGTCACTTTCTGGTGAAGGTCAGGTCAAGGTCAGGTCAAAAAATGTCAAATTTTAAAGTTGATAGTTTTGCATAAAATGGGTATTTATTCGATGCAGCTCGTCACGGGGAGTCTAATGGTGGTCTTTGTTTTGCGCTACGGGGTCTAGAATTGCTAAAAATTGAGTTTGAAAATTTGACGTCATCAATTTTGAACAGTTTTTTCGCTATAACTTCGCCAAAAAAGAGGTATCAATCTGAAATTTGGTATGTAGATAGAAGGCGGTAAGAACTATCACATATGTTCCGGTTTTTGCGAAATTCGAAAAAAAAAACTTTTTTGATTTTTCGGCTATTATATTCAAAAAATATGTTTTTTGATTTTTTTTGGGTCAAAATCCAAACATTTTAAAAATCCGAGAAAGCAGTTTTGTAGCCCTGTCAATTCTACAGCTTTTATGTCTTTATCGTTTTTCTGTATTTGCAAAGCTATAGGTAGGCCTGACAGCTCTTCCCGCGAAACCCTTTTTTGGGTCGAAAACGCCAGGACATGACGTCACTCTGACGTCATTTCTGGCCAACCTATCATAGCCTTTGGAAAAAATTTTTGGTCACAATGTGTAAAATTGATGTCCGGGAGGGTACTGAAAGTTTGGTGACGATCGGCGCAGCGGTTCTGGAGATGTATCGAAAAGTCTGGAGGGGGGCAAAAAATAGCCCCCCACCAGGGCGCGGGTTAAGTACCATTTCTATAGGGTTGATCGTCGAAGGCGCAAGGATGCGTTCTTATAGACTGACGAAATAACATCGTAAAAGGCATTCGTGGATGAATCGGCTCACGCTTTTCTACAGACAATTATTTGCGTATTTTGAGAATCTACTCTAGATGCTTCTGCGTTAGTTTGATGCCTGTAATTTTTTATGTTTGTTCAGCTACCGCTGCGCAGAGTTCTATTGCACAGTCATCGATACAGCTCTTTTCCTGAAATTACTAGCTTACGGGGTAAGACAACATATCAATTGCTTCATCGTAGTTGTTTTCATTTAGTTAGTAGTTAGTTGCTTTCATTTCATTTAGTTTAGTGTTTGATTTCTCCGAAAACTGAGCTACTCAACTCACATTTAGTTCAATATAGCTTCATTATTGAAAACATGCCTGTTACCAATTTTAAGTCACTTCATAAAGTGATAAAATAGGACGATATACTGACCCTGGCGTTTGTCTGTCGGCTCCTCGCTGGTGACTGCTCCCCTCTCTGGTATCGGGTCGGCACTGTTGGGGGGCGTTCCTCTCTCCCGGCTCTGTCAGAGGACGCTGCTCTCTGGCGGCGGCCCGTCTCCGTCTGACGGGGCTCCGAGCCGGCGCTAGTGTGACCCTGAGCTCCGATAACCGCCCAGCGGCGCCGCCAGTCACGGTCCCCCTCGCCCCGGTACATACACGAGTACCGTCAACCTGACTCGGCTCGCACCGAACGTGCCCAGTCATCACGACTGTAGAAACGAGTTGGAGTGGGAGGGTCAGGAAGGGGGCGGGTCCGTGGTTCAATAGCCAGAGATAACCATAGTTTCATCCGCGCGTGGTGTGGCTCCGCTCGCGTACGTAATGGGGGGGGGGGGGGGTAGTGAGGTGTTCAGTATCGCATATGATCGCTCAAACTGTTTTTCACTCGCTGTTAGTGTCTGTCGCTGATCCCGCTACAGTTAATGTTACATACGACCATGCGATCGCGGACGGCGACAAGTTGATAGCTGTCGCTAGCTGATATTGTGGAGTTAGTGGGAGGCAAATAAGACACTCGTGACTCGACACTCGTTAAGATTACGCTTTATCTTACCGAGCGGTAACGTTAGCGAGACCAAGCTGCTGACGCAATCTTCCGGAGGTCAAGGTCTTATGCTTTTTTACTGATGTAATAAAAACGGTGCCGCAGTGAGCCGTCGAATTTGAGACAGAGACAGCTTTGAGGAAAAGCCGACAAAATTTCGACTTGGGTGTATCCAAAGCCTTTTTTCTTGTCTTTCCCTGTTCACTAACTCCCAAATTTCGGGAGGTCAGATTTACGCGCAATTAAACTTGACATATGGAATAATCTTCCATTTTTCACAGGTTGTAAGCTGCCAAGAATGTTAGTCTTGCTGCATTGCACAGGTAAGGTGACGCAACCTGTGTCTGTGGCCCTACGTTCACCAAAGACTCGCTTAAAGGGAATATACCACCTTCTTTAGATTAGTTTTTTGCAATTAATTTTTTATTTCTATGCTCAAAATGATCAGAAAATAAAATAAAAACCTTTTTATAAAAAGGATTATTTTCTATATTTTATGAGAAGAACTAGATTCTATATAAAATAATTTTTTAACGGGGAACCTTATTACGCGTTGACTGCAAGCATAGTTCAAACCTAGCATGCGTAGTTCAAACCTACGCATGCTGCGTTGGCTGTTAACAGCATGCTGATTGGCTGACGATGACGTGGCTGCATTCTGGGTGCCTATTTCTTCTACAAGGCACGCTTCCCTCTACAAGGCACTTTTTCTTTCGGGACGAGAAATGGAATATCTTTGCCTAGGGTGATCGCCGGGGTGTAAAAGCTTCTGATTTGTGCTAGTCTCAACTCAAGCTACAAAACTGATATTCCAGTTCAAAACCCAATGTTAAAGGTGATAGGTACATTTCCTTTAAAGCCGTTACAAGCGACCAATTTATTCCGCATTCCGGTACCTTGCAGAAAAGACGCTCAACATAGGTACCTACATGTTGAGATTGCAATATAAGGTTAGAATGGAAGACGTACAGGGTATAATGGAAGCGCACAGTACCTATACCTGCATTGTTTACTAGAACTTCTTATAACAGACATGAGCCTTTTACATGCGGACGGTAAATATTGCATTGTTACTCCTGTTATACTGCACATGATCATGGCTCGTTTCGCAGCTATGTCCATTGAATTTCTTTTCACGCAAAATTAATTTATTGGTTACACCGTCATTGTCATGGTAATAGCATGTCACTAATTGATGCATAAACAAATGATATATTAATGCATTTTTATTACACAGTATTTACTACACAGCCGTCTATCACACTACTCCATAACACAGTCCTTATAATGTAAAAGTCATGAGTTGGTTCCTCTCAAAAGACCCTAAGCTCCAATCAATTGATCCCTTCCTTGTTTCAAAAATCGCTGTCACGATGATGCATGCTCTACTCATACACAGAACTAAATCCGTCTCTAATCCTGATGATCCAGCTCCTCCACGTATTTGAGGTCGCAGCCTTTCATTTTCTGCGCCATCCACTTGTCGAACTTCTCAGTCATCTCGGAGGTGAAGTGGTTCTTCCAGTCGCCTGTTTTACCCTTGCGGATAAAAGACCCGCGGTCAGTGTTAACCGCTCCAGACGCGTTTATGTGCTCCATGTTGACGTACGGGTTCTTTTTGAAGTTGTCGATGTGCAGGTGGCTGGCCAGCTTGTCGATTTGCTCCTCGCTGTAGGACTTGCCGAGGAAGGCCGCCACCTTTCGCAACTGCGCCCTCAGGTCCTTCTTCATGTCCTCGAAGAAGAGGAAGCACATGTTGGGGCGGTGTCGCAGGTTCCACGCCTCGATCATGTGCTCGATGAACGGTGTCTCCACGATGGTCTCGTTCATAAAGTGCTCCACGAAAAGCTGAAAAACAACAACGCACAGAAACATCGATAAATGCAAGAGAGCATGTGAAACAGGCCCCACATCACTTTTGAAATGTTTTCTCACTATGCGTGTTTTCAGTCGTTCTTACCTTGTAAAAGACTAAACCTAAGTAACCTTTTAATTATCAGCACTTCATAGCGCAGAAAACGGTAGCTGTGGAACACCTTCCATTAAGGGGGCACTGCCGACTTTTGTTCCCGTTCTTTCCATGCAACGTCCATAGGGCTAATGTTAAAATGCCAAAATCAAAGGGGGGCACGGTGCCCCGGTGCCCTCCCCGTTCCGCCACCTATGGCAGAAAATGCATTTATCGAACTATTTTTGCCTACATTCGAGAATGAGGGCAGAAGGAGAATAAGCTAACCATACAGAAAATGCTCGTATGAGTTGGCTGTACTGAAGAATTGCATCACTCTGTAGATACATGCATTTCTGTAGCGCACCGTTCCAAACACCCAGAATCATCTGAAATGTCAAGACCGAAGACAACACTTCAAAGTACTTCACTGGTGACCGCTTTACATTTAAATCCAACAAGTAAGTAAGAGCCATCGTCTGTTCTCCTCACCTCGAGGTCCCCGTTGAAGCCGCAGTCACGGAACAGCCGGTTGTGGTTGTAGTAAGAGACACAGGCGTCCTTTGGGTTCCTGGCCACGTACACCACCTTGCACGTGTCCAGGAGGCGCGGGTTGTTGAGCGATATGGGCAGGTGCGACTTGACGAAGCGCGGTGAGGGGCGGTTCGGGTCGCCAGTCAGGTCTTTGACGTCAAACGCAGCGTCCGAGGCGCCCTGCGGGACTGTTTTGGCCAAACCCTCCATGTCCATGATGGCTGCGATTTCGATGAAGTTCCACCTAGAAACACAGGGTAAAGACGTGCGGGAGTTACGAAAAACACAACGAAAACAGATTGAGGCAAACGATGGAGGGGATGAAGGAAGAGAAAAATGAAATGAGAGCAGGAGAGAGAGAGAGAGAGAGAGAGAGAGAGAGAGAGAGAGAGAGAGAGAGAGAGAGAGAGAGAGAGAGAGAGAGAGAGAGAGGGAGAGAGAGAGAGAGAGGGAGAGAGAGAGAGAGAGAGAGAGGTGGGGAGGGAAAGAGGGATTGTGAATATGATTCGCTGATCAAGTTCGGTGAGCGGCTGCCGGCAGGTGACCATAAATCGATAGAAAAAACATTACTTTGTGCCTAAACACATTTAGCACATTTAGAACATTTTAGCAGCATTTAGCAGCACTAAGCACATTTAACATTAAATGTGCCTAAAACAACTGAGTCATACGGCTGAATGGCTGAAAACGTTGAGTACCTGTCAGGCATCAAGGGTTTTTTGGCTGCCTCGTAGTCAAGGTCGTTGGCGATAAGCCAGATCATCTCCTGACTCCAAGTGGTCCCACACTTTGGAGGCGTTACCACCCAGACGTCACGAGGGTCCAGCGGGTAGTTGTACAGATTCTCCATTTCCTCTTCGGTCACCGACCCCGCCAGCTTGAAGTTCCAGTGGTTGCAAGAGGCGAGGCCATTCGGATAGCCCTCGAAGTCTTTGGCGATCTTTTTCTGTACATCGTCTTCAAGAGGACGGATCTTGAAGGGAAATGGAATTTGTTCAGAAGACATCTGTGGAAAAAAGGCTTATAATAATCGTTGCATTAATGAAAAATGCCGAACAGTCGCCCTCGCATTTTTATTCATCCTGACCTCTCATTGACATTTATACAGGTACCATTCATATTTATGATTTATACTTGATCACAAAGCTGTTCTAGCGTTTTGTTTAGATGCCTATGGACTTCCATATCATCTTTGTCATTACCTATCTTTCCAAAACATACGTTTTCGCACTAGCCTTATTTTTGCGCTATTATTCAAACGTAGCGTCATTTGGTAGTAATCGACGTTCTGGTAAATCCTCGAATGAACTCATCTACCATGCAACCTGGGCTTTAAAGTGAGATCGTGCCAGCATCCTCGTAGCAAAAGCGGGGAGTACACCTTTTTGCATTTGAATTCAACCATTGGCCATAACTGTTTGAGGAGCCATTTCGACAATCGGCATTGAGCACAACTATTCCGGCGTCGTGCGTTTCATTTCAGCCATTCGACAAAACAGATCGAACACTGAAATAAGCGATCTGCAAAACAGTTTGACACTTCACCATGACTTCGGCAATGAGCGAAACTCCTCGGCATTTGGTGATATCCCTTCAGCAATGTTTAAAACAGAATAAATGGATATCTGGGCTAGTTTTTTTTCAAATGGACTTAACACACATCGACCAATCAACACTTGAGCATGAACATTTAGGGCATTTCTAAGCAATAAGTCAGCCGTTCGTTATAAAATCTTTATAAATGGAACAGTACGTATTTGTCATTTGTCAGTCAGGCTTATATGCAATGCGGGACAGATTAAGTATATCGAGTGACAAGTGTTGCTGAGCGCTTACGAAGGCCTTAAAATTAAATTTTCATATTAAATACATATTAAATATATCATAAATATTTAATTTAAGGCCTTTCTAAACGTTCAGCAACATTAAATGCAATACGTTTATCTAACCGGCGAGCGATACCAATCAATGCAGCCGACATATTTTGATTTGGACTTTGGTTTTAAATTGCCTACGACGTCATTTTGGTCAGCAAGAAAAAAAAACAATGTGTCCCCTTCGCGTTTTTTTTTTTTTGCTTGCAATGTGTTACCTACAACACACAGCTGAATTTAATATGTTCAATGAATTCATTGAAGTCATTTCCATCAATGCACCATACCATTACAACCTAGCACGCCTACGTTGGTCAACGGGCACTTTACAAAAACTTCATTTAATTCGCCTATTCAAAGACGAGCTCTCTATCGGCGCATCCGGAATAAACAAACGGTCCTCATGGCGGAACCTGACGGACACTATGCACATCTGTCATGACGGTCGCCTTGGCATCCCGGAACTCTCTCATGAGGGCAAGGTTTCGCCAATTTATGAGGCCTATCTCATTTCGAGCCCCAGGGCAATACCGTTCACCTGACTTAGAATGAGCGCAAGGTGTTGTTTACATGTTTGGTGTGGGACTTACGCCCAAAGAAACATGGTGACTTCCCGGCCTCAGCCGAACCATACGCTGAGTGTGCAGGCTGAGGCCGGTCTCGTCCAGTGAACACTTACCGGCCGCCCGGTGTGCTTGTTCCATCATCCACTCGGTTATATGCCGAGGGAAATGGCAAGGATTGGGCCCCATGAGCTGCTCCATGCCCCCTGCAGCCGCCAGTGCACGCGATTAATTGTTTCGATCATTGCTGATCTGTTTTTCTGAATGCTGAAATATGCATAGACGGTTTTGGCCAATCATGAATTCCCGGCTGCTCAATGACGAATAGTTTCGACCATTGACGATTTGTTTTGCACAATGTTGAACCATTCGCTCAATGTCGAGTTGTAGAGGAGGATCGCCAAATAGTTTTGCACAATGGTGATTCTTTGTGACCAACCGCCCATTTGTAGCGCCATCTATATGGCGAATGTGTACAAATGTTTTGCCCAATGGTCAAAAGCTAACGCAAAAAGGTGTAGTAGGTACTGACCTTTCCAGGCGTGTGTCAGACCGGTGTCGTACGCCGGACGCTCCTCACTGGTCCCCGTACGGCTGCTCTCTGGTGACCGGCGAGGAACGCACCCTGATGAGACACCACGCCGCCGCGGTGACCCTGAGTTTCGATAAACCCGCAGCGGCGCCGCCAGGGCCACAGTGACCGTGAGCCCGCTGAATTGGCGACGCCTCTCGGGTGGGGCCAATCGTGCCCAGTCAGCGCCGCTCGCCGCTGCACCGAGTGATCAGAGGCTCCGCGAATTCTCATGGCCCTCGGGTATTGTCGTGGTTGCGCGGTAAATATCTACAAGCCTCTGATGGTTGTCCTGGCCTGACTTGCTCCGATATATCAGATGCACGTTGCACATATAATACATCTTTCTGGAATAAAAGGAAGGCCAAATTCGAAATTATATGCCATTTCGGAATCAGACTCCCTCATACGTCAGCCGCTGTAAAAAGGCCAATCGGACGGACGAGGACTTAAGCCGACAAATGGTCGAAATGGTCGACAAATACGAGATGCCGATGGAGGCGATACAATGTCTTGTGCACGAGTGTTCGAGGGGCACAAAAGGTTTACGAGTGAACGAGTTGACGTGGAGGATGACCGGAAGTCTGGAAGTCCCACAACATCCAGAAATGAAGAAAACGACCGCGAGCCTGATGCACAAAGATCGCCGACGGAAAGGATGCTGGCTGAGGGGCTAGGAATGGAAAGAGAGTCGGTGAGTACATACCATCCTGACGGTGGATTTGGGCATGAGGAAGATTTGCGAGAAGAGGTTGCCCAAAGTGTTCTCCAATGAGCAAAATGCTCACTGTGTGGACGTGTCCCGGAAGTCTTGGGGCAGCTGGAGGGCAGCCCACAGTGGAACCCATGGAGTGAAACATCGCCCGTACTCGCCAGATCTAACACTATGTGACTTCTGGCTGTTCCTGAACACCAAGGGTATCCTCAAGGGATCACTTTTTGAAGAGATTGAAGACATACAAGAGCACGTGACACGGGGCACTGCAGGGGGTATAGAGACCCAGGGGCGTAGGCAGGGGGGGCCACTGGGCCATGCCCCCCCCCCCCCTTGGGCGCCGAAGGCGCCCTCCAATCGCGAATGCAATTGTGATAGAATCAAATCGAAAAACAATCGCGACTGGATACGTAAGCCTATAGGATCGCTGCTTTCCTGCCCACTTGCACTGGTGCCCTCATTTGATCGGTGTACTCCTACCTATTGGTGCTCTCCTGTAAATAGGCGCCCTCTCACCCGAAGGCGCCCTCCTGTAGGTCGCCACCCTGCTACACATTGCTACCCTTCTGCTGGTCGGCGCCCTCATAATTATTGGCGCCCTCCTATCTATTGCGCCCTCATGTGAAATTTTGATGGCCACCCTCCTCCCTTTTGGCACCCTCTTGTTAAGTGCCGCCCTTCTAGCCATTGGCGCCCTCCTACCTATTGGTTTCCTAGTCCCTCCTGTAGAATGCTAATCGGGGCCCTTCTACCTATTGGCGCCCTCGTGTTGATCGCCGCCCTCCTAACCACTGGCGCCCTCCTGTTGATCGCCGCCCTCCTATCCACTGGGTCTTCTTGTTAAATCGGCGCCCTCCTCACAGACGCCCTCCTGTTCGATGTCATCCTCTTGGGCAAAGGCGCCCTCCTCACCATTGCCACCCTCCTGTTAATCGTCACCCTTCCACTCATTGGCGACTTCCTGTTGATGACCGCCCTCCTACCCATTGGCGACCTCCTGTTGATCGCCACCTTCCTATCTATTTTTGCTCTCCTGTTCCTTGCCGCCCTCTCACCCATGGTGGCACCCACCTGTTGATTGTTGATCGGAGCCTTCTTACCTATTGGCGCCCCCTTTTGATCGCCGCCCTTTTACCCATTGGCGTCCAAGTTTCGGTGATTGAAGGTGCTGAACACTGTATGCATCTGTGAGAAGGTCATGAGGGCTGGTCGAGGTAATTTGGATGAGAAGCCCGAGAAGGCTAATCGATCTCATGAGGAACAGCCCTGTTATGGTTTCTCTTTCTGTTGTTGCCGCCTTCTCGTTGTGCGCTTGTGTTTATGCACCTCGCGCTCCGGTATCAATCCGATATGGTGATCTGGTGTGTATGCCACCGCCAATAAACTTTTCTACATCGTCACCCATGGGCGAAGCTTTCTATACAGCTTGTGTGGCACCGGCCCCACCAAACCTTAGGTATTTTTTACACCTTCAAATTTGGTAAAAGAGCGGGAAGAGCTTTGAACAGTGAGCACGCAAAAGATGTGCCAAAAAAGCGGAGGAAAAGGTTGTTTTCAAAATTTCGCGCGCCATTTCACAAACTATTCTTTACTAGGAACTTAGTACCTATGCCAATAACTTGCAACCTTTTTGTCACGTGTGAGATGAACCCGCGCCAGGAGGTTTCTTCAGACATGCGGTTAAAAAAGATCCGAAAAAGGTGTCAATACGTTACGAGCTTCCATTTTTTTCCTGGGGGAGAGAGGGAAGTGGGTGAGCGGGAGGGGCACACCTTTTGGTACATTGCTCTTACGCGTGCTCTAAAAATGCAAACCATAGTCGCTAAAAGCAAGGTCATCAGGTCATGTCAAGTGATCTAACTTAAAAAAAGTTTTAAGCATTGTCACTTAAGCTGAGCGGGTGACTTGAGCTTTTTTGGCCTGGAGTAAAAACACAATACACACAATGCCAAATCAATGCAGCATAACCTATATACCAAGTCACGCAAAAAAAAAAAAACTGGTGGCGTGGTAAAAAACGCCTCCACCCCCCCCCCCCCCCCCCTGAGCGCATTTTTATCTCGCGACCGTATGGCGCCCTCCTGGGGTGAGGTGGCGCCCTCCAAACCCTTGCCCCCCCCCCCTTCGCGATTTTCTAAATACGCCGCTGAGAGACACACTTGTGTAAAGAAGGATAATGGGCCAGCAAAAGCGAAACTTCGCTCAGATAGTGCTGAAATGCTACGCATCAATATAATATAGGTAATCGGTGTGTAGATGCTGAGCCATGTCCCCGGCGGAGACAGTCTCGTTTCTTTTTGGTCACACCTCGTAAAGTCGACACCATCAACAATGAGAGCCACCAAATGTGCGAGGTTGTTGGATGCTCTCCAGGAAGGGTCACTGACTGGAACCGCTGGCAGCTCATGGCTAATGGTCATGACCGGTCATCGCCGTACATAGATGACTGTCTCACTGGTCTTGGAGACGTCTGGTCCAGCTCCAGTGACAATGGCGGCCCATGATCATTGGTCATTGGTTTTCACCGACCGGTCATGACTTGATCTGATCGCAGATGACCGTAGTTCGGCTAGAGCTGGAAACGTTTGGTCCCATTTTGCCGATGCCCGTGTCGAGCGGAATGGAGTTGACGTAACGACGGGTGAACATATCAATATACCATTTATTAGACGCGATTTATGTGCTATGGTATGGTGAACGGGTAGTTCAATGTTCTGCTACCACAGCTCATGGCGATCGGTTCAATGGCAAGTACCGGTTAGTTGACGCCTTGACCCGCCAGGTGACGCCTCGATCGGCTGATACTCTGCTCAAGACAGGCCTCGCCCTGGCGGCTCCAGGGGATGAGGCAGCTTGGATAGCGACCAAACCACCCCTCTAGAGCCAAAACGGCAACTTTGCACTGGAAAACTATGTCCAGATAAATTGTGTCACACTTTCCACTCAACTACATTTGTTTTCAGACTTTGTCATGATCCCCCCCCCCCGCCACACACACACACACACACACACACAAAAGCTGGACCATGGTCCTGGCTCAAAAAACATGATTCTTGAAATATTCCATTGAAATACATAAAGATATTCCGAGTACTGTAAAGCAATAGCACTGCTGACAGTTACCGGCGACGGAGCACAATCACGACAGCAAGCACACAGACCAAAGCGGCTAAAAACATCAAATCCTTTCTCTCAGCCTCCTTAGTTTGCAGTGGAGCCTCCATACTCTCACGCTCACCCCTGAAGGGTTTGTTGTTCTGCTCTCTCTCGCTGACGGACATCTTGTCCCTGTCAGCTATCGCCTTAAGTACGTTATTTATCGTATCGGCTTCATCTTTTGCCTGATTTTTCTGCTGTAGCTCCATTTGAAGTTTCATCAGCTGGAGAACCATGCTTTCTTTTTCAATGCTCATTTGATGCTCCCTCCGTTCTGCGTCAGCCCGTTCGGTTGCCACCATTTCCCAAACCTTTTCGTCTGCCTTGTTTGTTGTCCAAGTTTGATACCCAACAATAGTCGCCGCGACCAAGGGCGGATCTAGGGGAACGTTTTGGGGGGGGTCACCAGTCGGCCGACATGCCAGGTCTGATGAATGAATTCTGACGACCGGGGGGGGGGGGGGGGGGGTAGGGAGCGAGTATGTCGAGATCAAATGACATTTGATCTTCGTCGTTTCTGAGTTGAAGTTTTATCGTAAGTCACTCGGCTCAGTAGTTTTAGTTAGTGAAACCCACCTATAGAGGAGCGTCGCCACGGATTTTTTTACTGGGGGGGGGGGGGGGCGGATCGACCGACTTAAAAACCCAGAAGTAGTAGATATAGTTACCTCACTTATGCATTAGTCTAATGCCCAATGCATTAGTAGCATACAGTCACGATCTCTCTTATTGACCTGTGTATGAATCGGCGGCGCGAAGCGCCGCAAAAATTTGAAAAAAGTTGTCAAAACACAGCTCTAAAACACAAATATTACAACCCTTTTAGCATGCTAGTACAAGCCGGAGTTCCTTCACAGTGCACATATGAATTCCGATTCAATTTGACACGGTTGGTGTTATTACAGTCACGATCTCTCTTATTGATTGGTGTATAAATCGGCGGCGCGAAGCGCCGAGAACATTTGCAAAAGAATGTGTCAAAACACAGCTCCGCTCCAAAACACAAATTTTACCACCCTTTTAGCATGGCAGTACAAGCCGGAGTTTCTTCACAGTACACATATGAATTCTGATTCAATTTGACACGGTTGGTTTATGTAATTACAGTCACGATTTCATATTGACCTGTACGTATGTACATGAATCGGCGGCGCGAAGCGCCGCGAAAAATTTGCAAAAACATTTGTCAAAACACAGAGGGGGTCTCCTCTCTACAGAGGACCACCGATCTCTACTGCGGGCCTCCTCTTTTCACAGGGCCTCTTAACTACAGAAGGCTTCCTCTCTACAGAGGGCTTCCTCTCTACTGAGGGTCTCTCCCTTTCAGAGGGCCTC